CCCTCCCCCCCCCAAAAAAAAAACACACACACACACAGAGACACACATCAATTTGGCTGTAAGGTTATTGTGAGCTCAGAACATAATTTGCATCAGTCATCTGCAAGCAGTTCAGGATTGACGTTCACTTGTTACTGCTGGAGTGCCACCAGATGCAAGAGAAGCTGGACAGACTCGACGCGGCGACGCGTGGCGTTCCCTATCAACCATCCTCCAAACAATCGTTTGGCTTAAGCGACGGAACTTGTGCTTCAAAGAAGCCTTGACATACAAAGCCATGAATTGTTCCCTGATGGGTTCCAAGTTGGGAATTCGGGATTGGACACCTTCCTTTACATTCCCTCGAAAGCCCGGGTTGTCACGGGAACTCCTTCCCTGCTTCCCTTCGAAGAACCAGCACTTGGAGTGTGCACTCACAGAGGCCGGCAAGAATTCTTCACACATAGCCTAGACAAACTTAAAGTCTCAAGTAAACAGCGCCTCAACTGTCACTCCAAGTATCCGTGATGCTTCTAAGAAGCCCGGCGGTGCCGCCAGAAGTTGCATGGTTGGTGCTGCAGCACCTAACAAGGTAGACCCGTGGGGTCTAGGGTTGAGCTCATCATAGAACACGATCATGCTCAGGGCCCCCCACGCAAAATCCAGGTTTCTGTGGCCCAGCCAACTTTTTTTGATGGGGGGCCTAAGGGAGTGGCCATCAATTTTGATTGGGAACCCCTTAATTAATTCTGCAGCCGGTAGCCACCCAGGGTCCAACTTGTTTGTAGCACCACGGCGGCTGGTAAATGTCATGGGAGCCGACAGGTCTCCTTCTGCAGACAAACGGTTGCGAATGCAAGATGCGGGAGGTTGGTGATATGGTGGTTTTACTTACAGGATTATGCAGAGTTTATGTAGGGTGTTTACGGGGATCATGTAGGGGAGTTTCGCTAAATGGTCTGTATACAGCCCTCACACGGCACCCGTACAATTTCCCCGTAGAACCCTAGCTGGACCCCTCTTTGCGAAACAGCCACATGGAGGGTTTCCGCTTGAAGTTGCGGTTGGAATACGACATCCTAAATGGGAGTACCTTTTGTGGGCCGCCAAATACAGATTCTTGTATGTTGGGGTCTATATTGGGGTCCCCCTATTTACAGTTGGGGAAATTACCAGGCTTCGTGAGGGCTTAGTGCTAAGGACTTCGGCCTAGGGCTTCGGTTGCGCTTGCAATGAGCTGTTCCCCGGGCAGTTCTCGAGACTGCCCTGGCTCCCTGTAGAGATTAAGGAGAGTTGCTTTTGTATTGAGGTCATAGACAAAGCCTGACCGCAAGTTTCTTCTTGTGCAAGAACCTGCTTTGCCCCAGGTCCTCCCAGGCATAACCCAAAAAGAGATGTTGGAAAATGAGCCTCGCCACTACGTGTACTTGGCGGCGTTTGACTCTACACGCCAAACCTTCCTGAGCCTTACATGATGCCTTGAGCCCCAAGCATCAGCTTCCTGGGGTGCAATCCCGGAGTCAAGGGCATCCCTATGCCCTATGAAGCTTTTGAGGCACACGAGCCTAGATTGAAACCAGTGGCATGTAGTATGGAGGTACTTTATCTGCTGTAGTTTTAACTCCCACTATATAAGGGATTATATACGGGAGTACTAGAGGGCTTATTGAGGGGATACCCGGAGTTTTGACCATGGCTCTTATGACTTCAAGTTTCAGGGCATATCCCTGTGTCCACTGGCAATCACCCCACCATTAGAAGCAACCAGTCTTGTGTCGGTGGCGAAGCGTGCCTTGGCTCAATCGCAGCGGAAGTGAGCCGAGCAATGGCGCGACGAAGAGCGCCTTGAAATGCAATTGAAGAATGTCCGAAAGTAGGAGCATCGTCATGTTGAGACCCCCCAAAAAAGGAACCGTAATTGTGTGGTTTGGTGGTCGCACGGAGGGTCTTGGACTATAGGGACAAACCCTTATCCCTTAACTGCTTATTTTTGTAGTATATAACCCCAACATATATACCCTATAATCCCCCATATAACCCATTATTATGGTGGTTTCCATTTTCTTTTCCATTCTCCCTATATAACCCCTATATAATCCTTATATAACCCAGTGCTTGCGATCAGCCCATCAGTTCCTGAGGATGTAGGGAAGCAAAGGCGTCCTGAGTCCTGGTGAAGGGCCTGCCAGGGTTTTTAAGACAGACTTTGGGTGCAGCTGACGTGAACTGATCCCTAGACCCTAAAAACCCTTAAACCGTAGTCCCTGGTTCCTGAAACTTAAACCCTACAACCTTCAAACAGTTAAGCCCTAAACTGGGACCGCTTCACTTCCGGAAACCCTTGACTGCGGGCCTGGTTTGCACAGTGCAACGTTCCTGCACATTCTCAAGCCTTGCGGAAGTCTTGCAGGCAAGAGATACATAGGCGTGAACCTTTATGTCTGAAGCTCTACGCCTTACGTGAGGCGTCAGTTGGTCTCTAGTACAAACCATCCAAGAAGGAACCGCGAGGACTTCATGCTTCATGAAGCCCAACAACCCTGAAAGGCCCTCACAAAAAAGGGGCGTCAATGTCCAACGGGTTCCATGAGTTGCATCGCGCGGGTTCTGCCAAATCCCAGCTGCAGACCAGAAAGTCTAAGTCTAAGTTTGGGGTTTCGGGTTTCGGGTAGTTTCCATTCTCTTTTCCATTATCCCTATATAACACCAATATTCGCCCTACCTATATCACACTGTAGATTCCATTTTCTTCTCCATTCCTAATGGTCAAGTCTGAGCCAAGCCCCAACACCTCCCGTACAACCCCAAGACTACCCCTGCGTGAGTGTCTGAGACCCCTCTGGCAGCTTTGATGCTGGGCGCATGCGCTGCGCTCTTTGTGGGTTCAGGCCGTGCAAGGACCTGTCCCAGCTTGATCCCAATAATGGAGACTCACATGAGCTATAGTCTAAACTCCTTAAAAGGGGGTTATATAGGGGATTATATATGGGACTACTATAGGGGTTATTAAGGGGGATACACGGAGTTTAGACTATGGCTCACATGGCAAAGAATATGGAAATTGAAATGGAAACTGCGGTTACAAGTGTGCAAAGGAATCATTACTAACATTACGGTCCTGGACTCTCGTTATAATTATGGTAGGGAACCTCGAATAGATTCAAGCTGATATTGGCAATCACTGTAAGTCCCCGTATAAGCCCAAGTTCCACTTCAGTTGTCATTTGCCATTTTCTTTCTCCCTCGATTCTCCATTATTTTTTTTTGGCCCCTACAGGAAGCTTTGCAGGCTGGAGGGTTTGTGAGTGAAAGCTTGTGATCGCGCATGTGGGTTGTAGGGTCAAGGGCTTGGGATCTCAGAGGCTGAGTAGGCAACCTTTGACCTTTTTGCAGGACTTCAGATGCAGAAACGGTATAGGTTGGGTTAGGCCACTACTACGCCATTGTGGTACCATTAGAGTACACAGCGACCGTAAATAACCACCATAATCCCTTGCGGTCCATGTTGATGGGTGGCGGCCCTACCCCTTAACCCTAAACCCCACCGTAGGATTCAGGGCTCAAGGAATGCCCAGTCCCGTTGTTAGAAGGGGCAGTGGATAGCGGGCCTAGGGAGCAACAGGCATATGAGTCCAGGGTTTAAGGTTTAAGGCCTGGGGGAGGCTTCTGACGAGAGAGGATTTCGCAGGATCCCTACAGTGCGGCTCTTAACTTGTGGGAGCATAAGGAAGTTTGACGATGGCACAGCCATAGTGAAGTGACTTGTTTGTCCTTTTCCAGAAGCATCCTAAGGCCCAAACGTCAACCAAAAAGCCAACCGTCTAACCATGAGATATTCTCAAAGTAGTACTTGCTTTTCTGAAGCAGAACTGCGCAATCCCTCTGGTAACCCCCATCTTATGTTGAGAAACTGCCACATCCAGCAGGACCCTGCGCGAACGCACCCGAGATTTTTCTGTATCATGTCGGAGCCTTTTTATCTGAAACTACAGCAATTGTTGAAAAACCTGGTAAACCCATGTAAAGCTATCAGCTCATCGACATTTCAGCCATGTCAGGGTGGACCTTCACTGGGCAATGGAGTAGCCCAAGGACTGGGTTGCTGTTAAGGAACTTAAATTTTGTTACCATAATGGGTATATATAGTAAATGATAGGGTTTCCCCAATATAGTAACTTAATTTAAGTTCCTTAACAGCAACCCAGAAGGAGAAGCAACATCTCCATGCAAGCGGCGTCTGACGAGCCCCTTGCTTGGTACAAGTAAGCAGGGAATCAGGGAACAGTACCTGAGAAGAAGTTTAGGATCAAGATCCCCATGGCTCATCCTCTCGTTCCCTGCACCAGGGAGCAGTGGTGCTCTTGCTTCTGTTCTTGCCTGCTGTCCTTTCAGAATACAAATACTGAGCGTAGTAGAAACAGCAAGTATCAAGCAGCAAGTATATTATACGTGAGTGCCGAAACAATTTAAAGTGCTTCTCTGAATCTCTGACCATCAAGTGTGCCACATTGGGAGGTTATGGAAAACTCAGGTCTGAGATCACCAAAGTGGAGATCTGCATACACAGAGACTGCAAGCGTGACCTGCCGCGAACTGCAGTGGGTTTCAGGGCTTAGAGTGACAAATGACGTGGGCATGTGTGAGAACCAACTGTTTTGGTTGCAGAATAAGTACGGTTCGGGTTGTACCGCGTTTTGGGGCTGAGAGGTCGAAGCCCATGGCTACAGCAACAGGTAAACAGTTTCCATGAACCCTAAACCCTTAACCCTAAACCCAGCAGTGTCAGTACGCCCCGTTTCTTTTGGGACTTGCCTTCTTCTGATGCTTCATGCGTTGGAGGGGTGCACCTGGAGTGTGCAGAGTCTAGTAGTTTCATGTAGTTTCCATCAACAGTGGGACACCTAAGGGCCCCCCAAAAAGGGATCCCTGATTTTGGAAAAACCCGTTTTAATGCGAGTTGAAGGACAGCCTGGAGCTGTGTGAGGGGCTGCTAGACTAGACATTCAATGGCGGCAGATGAGTAGCAACAAAGCCGAGAGCTGAATTGTGACCCGCGCAAAGAACACAGAATAGTCAGCTCTGGAGGAATGACTCGGCTTGATGCAACCCTAATATGACCCTCAATATAACCCCAATATAATCCCAATATAACCCAAGCCTATAGTAGTTTCCATTTGACTTTCCATTATACTTGGTTCTGCTATCTGACAATCCCAAACCAAAAGCCCAACTCAACCCTTAGCAGCAAGGCCTACCATCCTCCCGCCGGATTTGTTCCATTCCGCTG